GCCCTTTAAATTTATTTGTTCGCCTTAAATGGAGCATCCATACAAAAAAAAAAATTCTAAATTTTTATAATTAATGTCTATGAGCGTAAATTCAATTTTTTTCTTTTAAGAACCAACAAAAAGAAGGAATAAAAGAATTTTAGGAGAAAAATAATGCAAAGTGTAGTGAATTGATCAACTGCGGTCAGTGTTGCTTAGCAAAAAACCGTTTTGGAAGCAGCTGTGGTTACTCGTCTTGAATGGTTTACAGACAGTTAAAGTGGGTGAAAAAAAAAAAAAAAACAATGTGACAAACGCTTTTCTAACGTAATGCTTTATTGAAATTCTTTATCTTTTTTTTTTGACTCAGTGAATACTCATGAAGCAATCAATTGTATGAAAAGCAGAATATAAGTGAAAAAGAAAAAATTTGAAGCTCATCTTTTCGCGTTGGAGATAATACATTTCATGACACGTAGCATTCAGTGCTATTATTTGACATTCACACAACGCAACACATACTCAGACACACAGACACACGGACACACAGATACACACAGATGCACTCACTAAACACAAGCACACGTAATATTTACAAACACGTATTTAAACTACCGAATCTTCTACTTATAATTGTACAATAAATTATAATTCAAATCCTTTTTTTTCCTGACCAAATTAATCAATTTCTTTTCAACGTTGATTGTTGCCATTGATGAAGAACTTGAAAACATATCAGAAACTCTTGAATTCAAGTTTGGTTCATCATTTGTACGACAGTGACAATCTTGACGTGCTGTACAGTTTACAATTGTTATTGATATTACTATTATGCTGTTTAACTTAAAGGTATTCTTTGTTGATCTGTCGCTTGATATGATGGCCTGTAAAGAAGTTTCTGCATTTCAGATCCTCAAATTTCTCGTAGACGACATAAATCCGTGCCGTTCGCAAATCGATTCAGATTACGATAGCGTCCACAGCAGTTCACTTGCATTTCTTCCATTACTGAGGTATTCGATGGAAAGATGTAGCGTAAATAGCATGGTGGAGTGAAATTGACATTGAAAATGTCGTTTAGTGACAAGTATGCTGCTATAAGGCCAACGCCTATTGCTAACCCTGAAAACTTTTTAACTTGTGAATTGGCAAGAGAAGGAAGCCACCTGTGTAACTGGTGATTTACACTCAATTTCGGCCATCATAGTTGTAAGTGTTTAGAAAGCGACATAAGAAGAAAAGTTAGAGTAGATTAAATGATGGTGAGTACGCTTACATATAATGAAGGAGGTCCACATAAGTTTTATCTTATTCGTCCTTTCAATAACCCTAAAAGTAGAGATTCAGGTACTTTATCGACTAATGTTCTGTTAATTTTTTTGCCAGTGTTTAAAACTTTAACAACAACTTACTGGGATAAACTTGGAGCGACATAATCGTTCCGTTTCTTATCAAATGTTGCAGCATTCAGGTAGAGGTTAAAAATACAGGGCAAAACTGCACAAACAGCCGGGATTGTGGTACTTCCAACTAGGTTCATAAACGGCCCAAAGTCAGGAATTGTTAGTGCGCAAAATAGCATCAGTGCTAATAATCCTGATCTTATCAAGACTCGTTCTACACCAAATGCTGTAATAGACAGCGCTATTTCAGAAGCATATCATCATTGATTAACGAAGGTCAAAAACATCAGATTACTAATATTTTTTCGTTAAACTCATCACTTAGCAAAGAATTTTTTTTTAATAAAAAACTTATTGCTTCTGATGTATATCAACTAAAAGTCATATTAATCATTTTAACATTTCCTGGAATTACCTAAAATCTATCAGAAAATTTTGGTAACATTCTCGCAGTAAATATATGAACCAAAAACTTTTTAACCTCGACATAACTACCGGACAAACGAAAGCAAAAAAAAAAAAAGCAGCAGTAAAACTAGCCTACCATTCTTTGTAACTCCTTCCCTTCTACCAAAAAAAAGAAAAAAACTGCAGTTTCTTTTTTTAAATCTCTTTCACAGTATAAAGGTAATGTTCTGAGAAATTGGTGATAAATTGCATAATGTTTGCTGTTACAACTGATCAGCCAAATTTATCAAAAAAAATTTGTTAACTTTAACAATCATTAAAATTGAGTAGATGTTGGTAAACTGTTTATAAAACTATGTCCCCCTTTGTCTCTTACCAGTTTATCAACACTTCAATGACTCGCCTTTCAAGTGCGATCTTTCTGCTCGTTCATGTACTTTGCACACTCAACTTATAATTTACACTTTTCAACTACTGCTAAACTCAAGTAAACAAACATATTAATTAAACAAAAAAAAAAAAAAAACTAGACAAAAAAAAGAGGTTTTCCAAACATTTTTGAAAGAAGAAAAGTATTTTGAAAGTAAAAAATGAAAATAATATTCAAATAAAAAACAGCAGAAAAAGATCGTAAATTTAAAGTTTTTCAGCAACTGAAAGTTGTTGCCTAATTAGTGTGAAAAAGAAAACGTGATAAATTATCTGAACAGAACTAACAGTGAGGAGCTTTAAAGAATTCTTCAATTTGTTGACTCAGCGGGTTTGCCATAATAATCAACGTTAGGATACAATGTACTGCAATTGCCAAATTAGCAGTTTCTCGAATCCATGGCATTTGCACTGAATCTATCACAGAATCCCTCATACTGTCACCGTAAACCACATAACCAAAAACGGAGAGTGGCATATACAGTATGGCAACCACTGAAATTATTGTTGTTCAGTTTAAAAAAGCATCCAGTTTCTTTTTTTCTGTCGTTTTTTTTTTTATATTTTTGGCAAACTCATTTTAAGTTTACTCTAAGGTACAAAATAAAAATAAAACTTAGCAAAAAAAAACTTGTTTCCTATAAACAAAAAAATGAAAGTTTTGAAATCAACTTTTCCGTGTATACTCCCCTCTCCTCCCTCATGCTTCCCCCCTCCCAGAAAAAAGAAAACACTTACATGTAAAACCAACAATTACTGATTTGGAAAAATCTCTAGCATTTTTCATATCAGCTTGAATTGTTGGAAAACAATGATGACCGCTGAATGCGAAAAGAAATGTGCCAAACCCAAGTATAGCATCTGGAAGATAAAAAATTGGATAATTAACTTCCGGATGACATGTAGATGCATCTTCACCGATTCCCATTGCAATTAGAATTACAGCAAGAATTGTACAAAGCATAGCAAATACAATTACACCCCTGAAAAATTGCAGTTTTAAGCTTATTTTCCATTATGTTAGTTTATTCTAAAAAAATTGTAGAGTTTGATCAAGCCTCCAAATTGATTAAAATTTGAACTTTTAAGGGTGCATTAAGCATAAGACCCTGAAATAAATCAAAAAAAAATTGATAGTTATAAAATGACAATAACAGTGTCTTACCAGAAATGTGCTGGAGACTTGAGATAGGTAAGCGGCATTATTGCCAACGATACAATGCATAGCAGATAGCAGAAATTCAGTCTAGCATTCAGATAAGAATACAGGAAGTAATCAAATATCTTTGTGGACAACAAGATATACACAACAGCTGTACCAAACAGGGTTATGTAGACTATCAGTGATGCAGCAACCCTAAAAAATCATGTTCATAGTTTAATGCCTACCCTGCAAATATAAATATGCTAATCTCTTAAATGTGTTAAATAAAAAAAAAAGAGAAAGAAAAGAAAAGAAAACGTTACAATGCTTTAGTTAGTCTATTTGTGCTGTTTTTTCATATATTTAAAGTAATAAATGTAAATAAGACTTGCGCAAACAAAATTTACTCTAAAACAAAGCTTTTTTTTTTATTGACATAAAGTGAAACGTGAAATTTTTGTTAATAAATTCTGTCACCAAAAATATTCACTGGGTTTTTTTATTGTTTAAAATTGTCAACAAAAATTAGTTCAGTAAAACAGAAAGAAAACTGTTTATTTGGTTAAATTCTATACCATAGTTTTACCTCAGATGTATTCAAGTCTAAACTTAAAAAAAGAAAAATCTGTATATATCTTTTAAAGTGAATATGATAGTAGAGAAAAAAGTTGTTTTTACTTCATATTTTTGCCCATACTACGTAATGCAATTTCCACATATGGTTTTCTGCAATGACTCCTATAAATTGGCCATCGTTCTTGCAGAATCACCCAATTTTGGCCAAGCAGATGTGCTGTATATGCAAATATTATTGATATCACAAGCATCAATGCTACACCAAGACTTAGACCTGAAAAAAAGTAATAAATTGATATTTAAAATTGTTGTAGTCGTTACTGTTGTTGCTGCATTTAAGATATTGATTTCATTCAATGTTTAGTGTTACATTTCCCGTTACGTTCCGTACAGCGCAGTATTTTCATCATTGTTCGCGTGTATGTTTCACATTCAATCTCTGAACCAATCAACTTTGGCTTCAAATTTTTTTAAAAAGCCAACAAAAGCCATCGTTTTTTCTTTTTTTCAAATCAACAGCTACCGCACCTTCTTCAGCGTTCCGCATTTCTTCATTACCCCACCCTACCAGTGCCACTCCCTATGTCCTCGTCTTTACCCTTGTTTCACCTGGCGAATAAACGATATGGTACAAAATCAGTCAAAGTTTGAGTAAATTTTTGTTTTGTTTTCATTGTTGTTGATGATGACGAGACATCTTTTTAAAACAGTTCACTGAATCACGATGATTTTTCATCGTTATTTCAGTCGTTCTTTTCTCTCAGAAATTATGACATTATCCTTGATTAACATAGGTGGTAGTGCTTACCTGTTTTTAGGAAAGCGACAGGCATAGCGACAACACCACTGCCAACCATATCGGCCACAATAAAAAATGCTGTAACAACCCAACCAATCCGTTTTTCTGATGCCATCCTAGAATCAAAAGAAAATAATTTTTTTTCTTCACTTTTTTTTTGACCTGAAATTAATTTGACGTCAGATTTTTTTCTACAGTAGAATCCATATAAATCAAAGTGCACAAGTACTGTTTTGTAAATAATCAAGGAGATTCAAGATATTTTTGTTTTCAAAAAATTTTTCTTTAAAAAATAAAAAAATTCTCTTTAGTGATGTATTCTAATAAATGCAACTAAATAAATATAAAAATAACGTAAAAAGTACAAGAAAAAAAGAAGTGAAGGAAAAACTTGAGTCAAGCATGAAGGAACAGTAACAATGTAATATTTCTATGAAAGTAACTAGAAAAGATAAAGAACGGCATATGCGAAAAAACGAAAAAATAAAACCAGTCAGCAAGAAAAAAAGAATAAGAAATAAGCGTAATAACGAAGAAGGTATTTTAACGAAATGATCAGTTAATAAAAGGTTTTCTGGACCAAAAACAAAAAAAAAAAAAAAAAAAAAAAAAAAA